GGTCTCACACTTTCCTCCGAGCATTTTGTGGGGACGTAGAATGGGTTGATGTGAACATAAAAGTCTTATCCATGGAGAATATCTCATTTATTATATTATTTTTGTTGTTCACATTTTATGAGGAGTGAAATTGTATAATTCTAGTAAATCGAGGCAATAAGATTAATTTGTCCACAGTTCTTAAACAATTTAAGTTTTTATTTAAATCTCGATATACTGAAATTATAAGATCCGAACTAAGATAATAAAAATTACAATATGTAGCTATAATAGGTCAAAGTAAGTAATAAAATCGGTGTTATTTTTTAAACCACCACGTAAAATTTTGAGTTATTAAATAAAGTAAATAGGCGGCAACGTGGCAGGCAAGACATACGGCTCGCCGCGGCCAGCGAAGAAAATGGACGATTGCTCGCAAACTTATCTCATAGGTCAGAGAGGTGGACCGTTTGGTAGCAGCTACCAAATTAGATAAACCCGCGAGCAATCGTTCATTTTCTTTACCGGCCGCGCCGAGCTGTATGTCCTGCCTGCCGCATTACGCGCTCTGATTAACCCACTTATTTTATTTAATAACTTGAAATTTTACGTGGTTGTTTAAAAAAAGACACCGATTCTATTACTTACCCCTAGCTATATATTAGCTCTGGTACGATACGAGTCAAACACCCTATATAATACCTTTAACTATATAAAATGTAGTTGATGTAATATGAAAATATATTCGTTAAACCATATTATAAAACTGAGTAAAAAAGTGTTGTAAAACATATACTAAAACTGAATAAAAAATGATTAGATGTAACCATAAATTAATAGTGAAATATTCTATAAAATATTATTAAATTATTAATAATTAAAATTTACGAAATCTTATCGTGTTTTTGGTTGCCACTGATTCTAGCTTTTGAACTCTTCTATTATGTGCTTTTTTATTTTATTTTATTTATTATATTTTTATTTTATTTTATTTATTATGTAGAAAATTTACCGATCCGGTGAGAGACTCGAACTTAGGATTTCTTGCTCTTGAATCACTCGTTTTATCATTGCGCCATTGCTATTCACTACAGGAACAAATCTTAATATGTACTTTTGTATACTATAAACACGTAACTATATTTATGTCCAATATTATCATAATTTATAGTAAACTATTTATATAACAATACTTTGCCTGCTAACTATTTAACATAGTTACATGTATCTATATCGTTGCGCCCGCGTTACCGGAAATGCATCAGTTTCGATGATCCCGGTATAGAGAGACAAGCGAAGGGGCACGGTTGACAACGAGGAGTAAGCAACAGCTGATGGAGAGTTGACAGCGAGTCGTGGTCGCGAATGGACGTGTATCGATTGAGTTGATATTGAGCTTAAATTGTGTATTGCTTTAAATAGTAAAGCTTCTCGTTCTTTTGTAAAGTGTGTTCGTTCATTTCTGTCGTGCAAGCGCGAACGCAATAATATGTATCTTTATGTATTTGCTAAGTATTCTAATTATAGTGGTTATATAAAATGGTTCATTTCTCTTACTATTCAATATTTAATACCTTACTATATTACTTACTATATTACCTTACTATATTATTTACTATATTACCTTACTTTTTATTCCAAATAACTATAATTCTTGATAAAAATTTTAGTGGGTCAGTTATACTATTCCTATATTGTAAATATCACAAACACTAGAGTGACACTTACTATAATAATGATATTCCTGACTATAATTTTTTATTATGCCATTATAGTTCCAAATAGCATACATTTTTTCTCAGTGTACACACACGCACACACACACATATACATACGTCCTGTTATTATGGGAACAAAAATAATTAAGATGTTCCATCTTGTCTACATTTCTATTATTTCTATTATTAAAAGTATCTGACGGTAACATACTCATTTTTTTAACACATGTAGATTGAATTAAATAAAATAAAAATTTTATATCTTTTTGTAATCAACCATGTAAAATTACAAAATATTAATTATAGAAGACTAGTGTATAATTGCGTGCGATGCGATGACGAACCCTACCCATACAGCACAAATATTTACCAAATATCCTAAAAATTTTCTAAGAATATGTAACCGCGATTCGTTGCGGGTTTGAATCGCTTGTCGGATCGGGTTCGTGATAGGCGGAATAATTGAGAAACAGTGTTTTAAGAAAATAATAATGAATAATATATTTAAAATACTAAACTGATGATAATGACAATATATATATCGAACAATACGTGTCGACGCCTTTGGCTTTGGTTGTTTGTATCGCCTGACAGAGGTTTGTTTAGACGCGGATTTGTGTGATGTGACGCGCGGTGCGCGGGGCGCGGACGACGTCAGTGTCGCGTCTTCGCGAGTCTATGCTGTTGACGTTTCTTTCGGCGTCGTGTCTCTTAAGTGCGGTGGACACTTTT